CGCCCCGTTTTGTTTGTTTGACAGCGGGGACTGACCTGCCGGCTGCTCCCCCGCGCGGTGTGAGCCGTGGTGTCGAGACTGACGGAGGGAGGAAGGGAGATTAGATTGGTGGAGCCTCTCCCGAAGGGGTTCAGGGTTGGTGCTTGTCGGCCTCAGTCCTTGACTGCTTGCCTCTTCCTTGGGGCGCCTGCTCTGCTCTGGGGTCTAGAGAGAGGCAGTGAGTTCTTCTTATCTGGCTGATGAGCGGGACTCAGTGAGGGCCAGTGAAAAGTGGGGTGGTCGCTGCCCAAGCTGATATTGGGGGCGGTGCTGTTCCCAGTGTCCTGGTGCGTGATTCGGGCGCAGCAGCCCTCGGCCTGGGGGAGCCGTGAGGAGGGGCAGACGCTCGCTGTCTTTACTACGCAGCCAGCGCCTAGGAGACTGACAGGGGTGTATTCTGCAGCATCTTTCAGTGTTTGTGTTTGTTTATTGTGCTGGGATACTGAAAAGGAGGTAGGAACCTGAAGGATAAAAATGGATCTGATAATCTCCAGGGCTGTGTTTCTCTTCAAATACGGACACGTATTTATTTTTACCTGTAATTTTTAGGGTTTGGACAGTTTTGGAAAATCGGGGAGACCTTTCTGGTTTGGAAGCTAGTGGGCAGTAAAGAGTGAAGGAAACTAATCAGAGGCCAGGGCGGTACTCTGCTACACCCGTAGCATATTGGTTGGAAAACCTCATTTGCCAGAAATCCAGAAGTCTCTCACCTGTTTTATGTGTGAAGTCCTGTTTTATAACAGGGTTTTGTTGTGCACAAATGGTCAGGTACCTAACTCTGATACAGTTCTATGTTTGACTTTGGGAATCCTGAATAACTTAGACTAAGATGCATCTGTGAACCTTGACACTGGCAGTGCATAACTAGATCCAGCCACCCATCAATAAGCAAAGAGCAGGCCACTCGAAGTAAGGTTAAAAGCAGTGGAAACGGCTGTGCTTTGAAAAAGACTTTCGGGGACTGACGATTTGAACCCTTGCTTGTTTCTTCCTAATATGTTTCTGGTGAAGGAAGTACTCAGAGAACAGTTACAGTAATCAAATGTTTTGGCAGAGGCAACCCCTGTCACACTGTGAGCTATTTTGGCAGTTCGCTGGTGAGCCTTTCATTCCTCTGAAATGATGCGATCCCTCCTGGCTTCCTTTCTTCTGCTAACATCCGTGCACTTGGTGTTGGCCTTTCAAATGCTCGGAGGAACCCTGGCTTGACAAGATTGTATCTCAATTAGTGTCCTCTTTCACTTTGTGTTTAGCAGGCCTGTTTCATCTACCAAAATTGTGTGCTCGGGGCACTTTCTTCCTTTTTAACGAATTCTAAAAGCACCAATCAAGTTGCATGCTGAAGTCATGCTACCAAGATAAGGACAGTGGTTCCTAGCATGACATAATGGTTGGACTTAGATATTTTCAGCTGTGTGTCTTAAAGTTGAAATAGTTTTACCTTCCTATATGATTTGTGGAAAGCATAGAGTTAACATATTTTTTCTTTCTTTTTTTTAGTAGTAGAGGAGCCTTTATTACTAGTTATCCAGAGTGCTGGCTTCTCTTACTTTTTTGTTATTTTGCAAGAAATTTCTCAATGGCCAGTGTTTCCCTCAGCTTCCATTTTTATTCAGAAATTCATGTGTGTGTGATTATCATAACTGAAATGAATAGGAATTGACATATTTTATTCACATTAAAGTCTCTTGTGCTGCAATTTTTGCACTAAAATGACCCCTACTGGTTGTATCTGTTAATGAAAACTATTCTTGAAAACTTCTTTAGTTGGCTATGCTGAGAAAACATTGCATGGCAGAAATATTATCATGACTAATTTACCTGCTTTTGATGACACAATTTAAATACAAATTATATTGTCCGTTGAAAGCTTGCAGTAATTTTAGTGTAGGGGGAATCATGTTTTTAATGGCAATTCACAAAATGAGTTAGATAAATCATGGCCCAAGATAGACATTTTCAACTTGTGGCTCACTGCCTGAAGTTAAGGCACACCGACCCATGGTGGGCTCTCAGTAGACGTATGAGGAATAAATAGATGAGCAGTCCTGTCCGTAGGTGTAGTTTTGATTATTATTATTAAATAAATCCTTATTTTATCATTCTTCTTCACGAAGTGCAATTGAAACATCGAGAATGGAGCCAGATACTAAATGTGCTGCCTCTCTGTCTGAAAAGTCCTTTCTGGCCCTTGGGAGGGTGCAGTTCCCTTTCCTGTTTCCATTCATCTGCTAAGTCTTCCTGTTGCCCTCTGCAGAATCCTAACTGGACTGTTTTCTTGTCCAGGCCTGCCTCCAGGGAAATCACCTAGAAGCCAGAGAAACAATTTTGGATTCGGAACTGCTCAAGAAGTCTTCTGGATGGGAGATCTCTGTGGGGGATGGGGGCTTTTGAAAACTAATGAAGTGACATTGTCTAGAAAGAATGTTTTAATTAGACAGTGAAATTTGTATTTTGAGCTAAGGGGAGGAGGGCCATTTTTCTTCCATGTAGATTACATTTTGCTTCCGTAACGGATGGGTTAAGGTGAAGAAACATGACTGGCTTCGTCTTGGGGTAATAAAAGGGCAGATGGTGGCTTGAGTTTGACACTTTGTAAGGCCCGAGTGCTTGGGAACCAAGGGGACACTACTGAGCTGAGTTGCTCTGAAGACCTCGGGTGTATTGCATCCAGCTCATCTTAATACCGGTATCAACGCCAGCTTCTCCCTCCCCACCCCCAAGTATGTATTCAGTAGTTTCAGTCTTTATGGAACCTAATTTCCCATGTTTTTCAAAAGCACTGTCATTAAAAACTGCCTCTTTCAGAACACAGTCCTCTTTTTATTCCCCTTCTCCCCCCCCCCCCCCAGTATTTTAGCTTTTCCTTCCACACGTTTTTTCATGAGGCATTGAGAAGAACTGAGGATGTGTGGTAGGTGCTTAGAGCAAAGACTAGAATTAGAAGGTTACAACATGGCTTGACTTAGCACTGGGAGACAGCAGAGCCAGTGCTGCTGTGAGGACAAGGTGTGGATCCCAGGTGATCCCCAGAGAGAGGACTGCAGGGGGCCAGTGCCCCAGAACCTTTGGCTGTGCTCTGGAAAGCTCTGTAGTAGCACTTGGAGTTGCATCCAGGAATTTTAGTTTTTACCAATTAAGTGAAGCAGGGGAGGGGCAAAGTCAGTACTGCTACACTGAAGTTAGAAAGATTTAAAAACCCAGGCCCCCAGATTTTGTTTTTTACTAACATTTGGATTTCATTTTCCAAATCAAAAGTCTT